AGCCATCTGTCATCAAGCAATAGATAAACCCCTTTAAAAAAATCTAATGAGCCCTACGTGCTGTTGCTCAGTGGTTAGAGCACATGTGTCAAACACAAGGCCCGCGGGCCAAATCCGTCCCGCCAGGCCTTGCAATGTGGCCCGCACCGCGCTGTCATCACTGCACTCCGCTGCGTTTCCATCACAATGACAGTTTATGACTGTTCAGTAAACCATTCGGCCTGCGATTTAGGCTGGATTTTAGATTTTGGCCCCTTCTCTGATTGAGTTCGACACCCCTGGGTTAGAGTGTTGGCCTGCACATCAGAGAGTCTTGAATTCCATTTCCAGTCAAGCTATCCTCTCCCATCCTCTCAGAAAATCAATGACGAAATATCCTCTAATAAGAATAAACACACACACATATACACATAAAAACAAACTAATGTGATAATGTGACAGATTTTCTTGAAATTTGATATATTATATGATATCAACAATTATTTTTCCCTCTTATTAATATACACTGAGTGGCCAGATTATTATGAACACCTGACATTTGTAGGCAAATTAGCTGTACACTTCATTGTCTGGGATATGAAATCCAAAGGCCTGTTCCAACACCTTTGCTGTTTGCAGTTACCAAGATAAAACGTCTCCAATTCTCTCAGGAGCAGAAGGATTAGAGAGTTGAGCATTGAAAAAAAGTCACGTGGCTCCATGAATCACATTTTCAGCTGCATTATGCAGATGGCAGAGTGAGAATTTTGTGGAAACAGCACAAAACATGCACCCCACATGCATGAGTACAACCCTTCAAGCTGATGGGAGGAATGTCATTGATTTGGGGCATGTTTTCCTGGCATGATCTGGGCCCTTTAATTTGTGTGGAACAACCTCTGAATAGCACAACGTACCTAAGTATCATTGCTGATCAAGTTCATCCTATCATGTTGATGGGGTATCTCAATGGAGATGGCTTCTTCCAAGACAATGCGCCATGCCACAGTGCTCTATTGTGCAGGAGTGGTTTCCAGAACATGAGGGAGACTTTACCTTGTTTAGGTGGTCCCCACAATCACCAGTTCTCAATTCAATTGAGCATTTGTGGGACGTAGTTAAATGAGCCATTAGGCAGCTGGTTTCACAACCATCAAATCTTACAGAACTGAATAGGGCTATTCATCAGGTATGGTGTCAGATTCCTCCCATCACTTTTCAACATCTCCAGGAATCAGTGCCAAGAAGAATCACCACAGTATGGAAGGCAAAAGGTGTAAAAAATATGTGAAAATGACTACATGTAAATATAAAATTAAGGGGACATTTGTAATATTTTCAACAGTAAAGATTTTGAAAATAAAAATTAAAGAAAAATCTAAATAAGGAAAAATTTAAATTAAATATATATTCAGTAATCTTACTGAGAATATTGGGATATTTACATGAAATATGCATACTGAATAATTAAAATTAACAAAAATTTTGGATGTGAAGATGCATAGAAATTCTTAAATTACATTTGCTAACATGTGTTTTGATATATATCAAAACTTAAGAACACTCCCCACAAAATGCTTGCACTAATTTATCATTTAATGTATAGCTCTAAAGATGTTCTAGTACTATAGAGCAATATAATTTCTCACAGATGTCAGACCAGGTAGATTTTTTTTTTCACTTTACCAGAAAATCACTATAAGCTTCATATAAATAATTCAAGTATAATAAAATCTAAAGCTGAGGTAGTAGATTTATATTTCCTATTTTATGGTTGTTTCCTGAGTACCCACTTTTCAAGGGCTAAGATAAGTATAAAATAGTATTTATGTTTGGTAGAATTAATCTAGATGTTATGATGCTGTGTTTTGTAAAGAAAAGACCCAAAGAAAATTTAAAAGAAACCCCCCCAAAAAATACACACACACACACACACACACACACATATATATATATATATATATATATATATATATATATATATATATATATATATATATATAAAGCTTATTGGATGACTTAAAAATAACAATATTATCACTTACTCACTAATTTTTGTTATTAAATTTTGTTATTTTGTTATTAGTCTAAGAAATATGATAGAGGTATTTTAAAAAATATATATTCTATTGATTTTTTTTTACAGAGAGGAAGGGAGAGGGATAGAGAGAAACATTGATGAAAGAAACATTGATCAGCTGCCTCCTGTAAGCCCACTACTGGGGATGTGCCCACAACCAAGGTACATGCCCTTGACTAGAATCGAACCTGGGACCCTTTAGTCTGCAAGCTGATGCTCCATCCACTGAGCCAAACCAGTCAAGGCATGATAAGAGGTATTTTTACAGAAATCTAATTATTAGACTTCTCCATATACACACATACTATTTTTTAAAAAATTACTAACTTTCAATTTGAAAGGACCAAGGTATCAAAATAGTTTCATAGTTTATTTCATTTAATTCTCACAATAAATCTATGATATAAAAACAATCATTACCTTGATTTACAGATGAGGAAGCTGCTAATTTCTCTAATGTAGGGAAGCTAGAACAGTAACCTAAATTGTAACCATGCTTTTTTGACTCCAGAGTTTCTATGTTTAGGTACCGCAGATGCACTGGGATACATTTAATGAAAGTTTGGTAGATAGACATTCTACATTGTATTTTTTACATCTATTAAGTGATAGCCTTATTTTCTGTCTTACATTGGAAATTTCACAATTGACTTTTAAAATATGTATTAATTGATTTTTAGAAAGGGAGAAGGAAGAGGGAAAGAGAGAGAAACTTCCATTGGTTGCCTCTTGCATGCACCCTACTGGGGATAGAGCCCTCAATCTGGGCATGTGTCTCAACTGGGGTGGAACCTGCAACCTCCTGGTGCATGGAATGGTACTCATCCAACTGCGCCACATCAGCCAGGGCAATTCAGTATTAAATAGCATGTTGGTCAATGAAGAAGTCTCAAGAAAACTAAAAAATATATATATATTGAGCTAAATGGAAATGCAAATACAACATAAACTCTGTGGGATTTAGAACCATGTCATTATAATGATGAAGAAGAAGAAGAAGAACTGAATTACCAATCATTATCATTATATTTATCTATTGAGTCCAAATCACAGCTCCTATTCAAAGGTATCAAATAATGCTTATATCAATCTTGTTCTAATAAAATTCAATGCATTTTGTATTCAGCATATATAGATGCAAATTGACCTCATACAAGTTTTCTGGGTTTTTATGTTTTGCTTCTATTTCTATTTATTTAAATTTTCTTGAGATAGAAACATAATACATCAAGTCACTTTCTCTTTGAAAATATGAATGCACAATAATTAGGGACCCAGAGAATTCTAAGAAGCATGGAAGTAGCCAAGCAATATTGTGAGCTCACATCTGCAGCTAGTCTAAAAATGTAACACAGACTTAATTCTTCTTCAATGCAAATGTTATTATTTTCTTAGCATTTCCATGTGGGAAATAAATTGGTAACTCTGCTTGTTTAAGCCCCTTTATTACTTTTTATTATATACTAGTAACTTTAAACTAGGCTACTGGAAAAATAATGCACCTGTGCAGGCTGATACCACTGTAAATGTGTGACTCAGCAACAAACATACTTTAGTATTGCCTATTGATCCTTCTCTTTTGTCTTAATTAACATTCTCTTATATTTTTCTTCCTGTTTATCTCAAATCTTGTCCAATCCTCTTTCAAATTCACCATCTCCACCAATCACTTCTTATTTCATAAAGAAAATAGATAATCCCACAAGGTAAATGCCTCAACTTCCTGTCACCAAAGTCACAACCTTAATAATCTACAATAATCTTAATTTATTTTCTCCTACTCTGCACTATATACATTGACACTTATTTTCTTCCATACTGCTTTATTGTCTTCCATGTTTGTTCTTTCCTCATGATTTAAATAAGATCAAGTCTTTCACATTTTAAAACAGTCTTCCCAAATTGTACATATCTACTGAAATATTATTAGTATGATCATGTTTAGAATTACAGCCTAGGACTTCTTCTATGTTCATATTTTTACATACCATTGATGTCTGGATACTTCTACCACAAAAGTGTTCAGATGGACTTCAAATTCAATATGTACATATGTGATTCTGATATCCCTTTTCTTTCCCTTACCATCTTTTTTTTAAAATATATTTTATTGATTTTTTACAGAGAGGAAGGGAGAGAGATAGAGAGCTAGAAACATTGACGAGAGAGAAACATCGACCAACTGCCTCCTGCACACCCCCTTCCGGGGATGTGCCCGCAACCAATGTACATGCCCTTGACCTGAATCGAACCTGGGACCCTTCAGTCTGCAGAACAACGCTCTACCACTGAGCCAAACTGGTTTCGGCCCTTACCATCTTGATTATGCACCTGCTCCTCCTAAGTTTCTCTCTCTTTACTTAGGCCAACAGCTTTTATGACCTTGCAAATTCTACTGTTTAAATATTTCTAACTCTAGCAATGTTATTATAATACATTTCTACTGTCACCTTTTTCAATAGGTCATCACTATTGTTTCACTAGATTAGTGCTGCTGCCTTCTCTAACTTATCCACTCTCTTAATTGTGCCCACCAGTACATGTATTTTTCACATTTCAAATAAACTGGCTTCATTAAAATTAAATTTGTCTTATTAATCTCCCACATAAAATCTTCAATAAAACCTCCATTGTCCTCAAATGAAATGTGAGTTATTTTATTAACAATGCCTGCCCCTCTGGATATACTATCTATGTAAATCAAGAGCCTATATTATATTTTTTTCTCTCTGCCCAACTTATCTTCTTCAAAAATATCCATTGTCACATTCATCTCAAAGTCTTTAGCTAGACATTTTCATCTGGAATTCCCCTCCTTGGCAATTTTCCTAGATGAATCTATTTCATTGCCCAAGTTTATCCTTATTCCCTATTAAATGTCTCTGCTATATGTTTTTATAGTTCTCTAGATCAACTATACTAATAATAGCGTAGGGCCATTATGACCAGATGGACAACCAGTCACCAGGAAGAACATGGAGCACCTCTGTGTCCTGCCCTCACAGCCCACAGGATCCTAACACAGCAAGGCTGGTGGCCCAGTGGGCAAGGTGAGGCAGGTGCAGAGAGCAAGTCATGGCTGCCAGGTGCTGGAATGAGCAAGCATTCAGACAGACATCAGGGCCTGGCTGCCAGGCATCAGAGCCTGCCAGGCTCAGGCACCATGGTGAGAGAGCAAACAGGCCCACAAACAGCAGGGCCTGCCAGCCACAGCATGCTGGCAGTCCTGCCTCTGTGTGTGAGCTGCAGAGGAAACACCTTTTCTGAATGCTTATTGGCTAAGCTCCCTGTATGCCACTGGCAGTGTTCTTGGTAACTTGGGTAATAAGAATCCAAGAAGGTGATCTAGGATTTTTCCACCTCACTCCTGGAGGAAAAAAATGAAGGTCCGCTGCTGGAGGAGCTAAGAAATATCATATCCTGCCCTAGCCAGTTTTGCTCACTGGATAAAGCCTTGGCCTGTCGACAGTAGGGTCCGGGTTCAATTCTGATCAAAGTCATGTACCTAGGTTATAGGGTCCTCCCAGCCTGGAGCCCAGGGCTTATGCAATCAGAGTGTCCCTCTCACATTGATGTTTCTCTCTGTTTTTCCCTCTTCCTTCCACATTCACTAAATTCAATGGTAGAATATCTTCAGGTGAGGATAAAAAAAAAAAAAGAAATGTCATATCCTATGAAAGAGACACCTTAAAAATGCTAAAGAAAGTTGTCATTTTTTTGTGGTAAAGGGACTGAAGTCAGTGTTGATAAAACTACCTTGATGGTTGCAGTGGCCGGCAGTGGCAGCAGCAACAGGATGATGGGGGTGGCACCTTCCTCTGATCAGCTTGGTCACCTCCCACAGAGGAAGGCCAGACTGTGGCTTGGGCCCACTCCTTATGGTGAGTGGGCCTAAGCCATTAGTAGGACATTCCCTGAGGGCTCTCATATTGGGTGCAGGTCAGGCTGAGGGACCTCCCTCCTATGCACGAATTTCATGCACTGGGCCTCTAGTCTTTTTTTTTTTATAACAAATTGGTGATGTTACTTACCTAATAATCTGTCTTAATTAAGTTTTCGGTTCTTTATACTGATACCTATTTCCACTCGGTCATTGATGAATTCCTAATACCTAGCATGTTGCAATGCACATAGATTAAAATAAAATAGATTTGTTATAGTATTCTTTATACTGTATCTTAGCAAGATTATGAATTTAAATCCAGAATTTATAATTAATATATTTTAAAATAACATGTTCATACAAAACTTTTGGTTCTAAGAAATTATGAATTAAACCTTTTCTGTGTGCATATGAAGGTAATATATTACTTATGTGAATTAATATTTTATAGATTTATAACATCCACAACTGAATTTTCAGAGGTAATTTATAATAAATTTAATTTCTACATGATCTAAAATAGCCATTAAGATATTAGACTTATAAATATTTGATATTAACAAATTAATTACATATTATAATGGTATAAAATCTTTTCTTTTAACAATATTTAATTGATAGTGGAGTTATATTAGAAATGCTGTGATTTTGAATATTATAAACCTGGACTTTAATTGCTTAGTAAAATTGGATAATAAAAGCTACCATTTATTGAATAACATATATATTTAAATAGTCTAATTCAATCTTCACTACTACTTTGTCAATTCAATACTTCTATATCAATTTTTTAAATTAATATATTAATACATTCTTACCTGTAGAAAAGTGGAGCAAATTAAAGCTCAAGTGACCTACGAACACAGAATGAAGAAATAACATAATTGAGATCCAAAGAACATATATTTCTGTTATACCATTTGCTTTCTTCTCTGAATTTGAGATTTGTTGTAAGATTTTAGTGTATTTGTTAATCAAATAGAATAGTGGTTTGCACTGTGAAAAATCTCAGTGTGTAGTAGTTACTATGTTTTAATTGGGTCAGTACAGTCAATCAGATTGCTTTCTTTCTTTGAGCCGAGATGTCTTCCCACAGAACTGATCTGCTGACCCCTCTTTCACACCTCTGGTGAGTGATGAAAGTGGACACTACTGCCACACTTCCTCTGTTTATCATTCTTCCATCACACCATTTTACACTTTCTGCCATGCTTCCACCATTCCTGCAGAAGTTAAGAACTCATTCTAAGTTTACTTATTTGTACAATAGAGTATTCTATGTGTCCATTATGTATGTGAGAGCTCCCACCTCCTAGATTACCATTAGAAGAACATGATTTGTCACCAACAGGCATCTTAGGGCTAATATTTGTATAAAAACATTATATGAACATTATATTTAAATCATTTAATTCTTATTTTATGTCTTTTAAAGTGTTTTATTTTCCTAAAACTGATCAGAGAGGGATACTTATATCTGAAGAAAATCACATCTCTCCATTATAGATGTTCACTATTGCTATGTTCCAGTTACAATCAAGCTTGTTATAAAAGACTATAGTAAGTTGCTGGCTCAATGACAGTGATATCAAACCTTTCCAGAATCAGGTGATTATATAGGGAATGATGAGACACAAGGTAACAAACACATTTTTTCCCTGCCTGTTTCACCGAAAAGATGCCTATCTGCTAATAACACAGTTTTTCAGAAAACAGCAAAGAAATTTTTGTATCATTAAGTAATTTAGGAAAACATTGGGTAACAATGTATGTTTTTCTGTTTGAAGGGTTATTTAAAATAGCAGAACGAACCTCCTGTTTCTTAATCAATACTCAGTCATTGAGTTCGCTTGCACTTTGGGAATAGTAGAGAAAACCAACGAGCCAGTTCCCCGGAATCCCTGAACAAAATCTCCGCTTAGAAATGTCTAGAAACACTGAAAGCCCATGTCGAGCAATCATTTATGACATTTTCATGATAGACTGTAAAATACAACTTCATGTAATGACCAACAAGTCAATTATATTCTGAGCCTGCTGGTTCTTCGCTGCATGTTTACAAATGGAAAAACAACATGTAGATGGCAGTTAGTGGAGGAATGGGATGCACAACCCTCACCCTCTGTGGTGAATTGGACACTCACAGGAAACATTTGCATGGAGGCCTATGGAGATTGCTGGTTTGAGGACGTAAATACTAAAATGAGTACTTCAGGCAATCAGACTGTCCCCCAGATTTGCCGTTTGCAAATTCAATTAGAAGGCATCCTTGTAATTTCTTCTGAACCATCTCTTCCCTCTCCAGAACGAAATGTGATGAATGTTTCTGAAGCATCCTTCATTGACTGACTGCAGAATGTCACAGCTGAAGAGCACTTACTGTTTGGTTGCAAGCTTATAGGAATGCACACTGTTAACTCTCAGTGGTTGACTGTTGGGACACGTTATTTCATTACAGTAATGGCAAGTGGTCCGTTGCTTTGTCAACTGGGACTTCGACTAAATGTGGCAGTAAAAGAACAGTTCTGCCAGGAATATCTGAATTTAGAATATTGCTCTGGGCATGGCAAATGTCTTACGGAAATTTGGAGCATATAACTGTCATTGAGAATCTTCATTTTTTGGAAAATACTTGCCAGGAATTTGATGTGTGTTCTTATAAACCTTGTAAAACTAATGGCAGTTGCATTAATAAAAGAGAAATATGGAATGAGCAAGGATATGAATGTATCTGTCCCACACCATTTTCAGGTAAGATTACTTTATAAATAACATAATTCTATTAAAATATTAAAATAAGTGAATTTTGAACTACTACTTACAAAAATCCTACCTTCAAATATTATCAAATTATGTAGCTTTGGAATTAGGATTTCAGCAAATGGAGGTGGTATAACACTTTAGCTCATTATACTCACTAAGATTGAAAGGATATGACCAACAAACATTCTACTGTTAATTTTGATTTTATATGTGGGAATATTTTGGCACACATTTATATTTAATTATATTTCATTTTGTTGGAAGTTGTTTGGAGGAGAATGAAGGAAGGAGATCTCTGAGGCAGGGATATCAGAGTTTACAAAGAATTGGAAAAGCATCATTGATCATGACAAAATTGCTTCAAATTTAAATTAAGAATTAAATTAGAATTGGGGGTATTTTGTCAAATTGTGTATAACTGTTTTGCAGTAACATTTGTCCATTTGCCATGCCCTGAACTATTCTAGGCCCATTCTTCTGTGGAGGCTATTCTGAGATGATTAACTACTTTGAAAAATATTCTATGCAAGGTTATGGTATGTGATATAGTAAGACCATGATAGTTTATGTAAGTGGAATTTGACAAACTTGATACAACAGCAAAGGCAAGAAAGCATAGGATTTAGAATTTTGTGTGTAGCTTTTGAGAATCCAAACACTCTTCCCCCTACTCCCATAATTAAGATTTTTAAATATTTTATTTTACTGTGGAAACAACACAATATTAGATATATCCTCTTAAACTTTTAAAATATTTTTATTGATTTTTAGAGAGGAAGGGAGAGATAGAAATATCAATGATAACAGAGAATCAATGATAACAGATAATAGTATTTCAATTAATTGGCTGCCTCCTGCAACACCCTTTACTAGGGCTTTACTAGGGAGGCAACCTGGGCATGTGCCCTGACCTGGAATCAAACCTTGACCTCTTGGTTCATAGGTGATGCTTAACCACTGAGCCATACCAAGCGGGCTACCCTCATAAATTATTAAGTGCATAACATATTATTGTTGAAAAATAGAGGGATGTTATACAGCAGGTCTCTAGAGCTTATGCATTTGCTTAACTAAATCTGTATGCCCTGGTTCCTCTTTAGATGGTATAATTTTATCCCATTTTTCTGCTTTAGAGTCATTACATTGATTAAGTGGTATGTTTAAGATACAATGTGTCATTTTTTTAAGTTACTACTGAAATTCTCTCAGTGTTTGTTGAAGAACTGGTACTTATGTGTATTATCTGCTGTGAAAACATGATTAACAAACTCAAATTATTATGAAAATTAACTAAAGGTCACATATCAACAATCAGGAAAATATTTGAATATTATAGCAAGGATCCAATGATGAAAAAACTGATATAAAACTTATGGAAATTGTTTCAATTTAAATACATCATTGTGCAGCACTATTTCTTAATTAGAATTTCATTTTGTCAAACTTTTTATTATTATTAAAGAATTTTGGAAAAGTCATTTACTATAATTAGCTATATAAAATGTAAATCTATTGATTGAATTTAAAAGTTGATTTTCATTCACTTTTGCAGGCCTAAATTGTTCAGAAATATTGTAATTGGCCAATATCAACCATGTATCTGTTTCCATGGAAATTGTAGCAATATGGCTGCAAATAGTTTCATTTGTAAATGTGATGAATCATTTTCAGGTAAAAAAAAAATGCACATATATACTTATACATGTAATTAATATTAATTTTGTCTTTAATTTCAATTTCAATTTAAAATGTTTCATTTATTACTGAAAAATACAATTTTAGAGTCTCTCTATTATGGCTTTTCTTAGGAATAAGTTTAATAAATCTATTTGGTTAACAAATAATTGATTAACCTGCTAATATTCCACAATATAGAGTTTGGAAAACAGCTGACATTTTAAAATAATAATAAAGTATATTTCTTCTTAAGTACTAAAATATTTTCAGAAATAGTGCACATTTTTGCAGATAATTTGCATAATAGTAATTAATTTATTTCCTTATGTAAAATATTACAAATTCCTTTTTATGAAGGATAAAAATGTTTTATTTCTTCTCGAATTTAAATATGTAAAATGATTTCATCTTAAAATGTTTATGCCAGCAGTTTCTTAACTTTGGTTAAATGTTTTAACAATGAAAATGCATTCAAACCATTGCCTGTGTCTTTGAACTCTTCTACAGTTTTCCATTTTCTGGGAAATATACCTCACTATCAGAGTATCTGTCCCACTTCAAACTGTCTGTAGGCAGTGTATCTTTAGCCACAATTAAATACCTAAAATTGTCTCTTGTGGGAGTGAAACAGAAGATGATTGTCTCTCAAACCACAGGGAATAGTAACATTTCAGTGTTTCTCTTGAAGGTCCTTCTACCTAATTAAGTTGAAAGAGATTTGAAATTTTTGGTAGAGTGCAACAGCCATTGCCTCATAGTAAGAGGAACTGGTACCAACGAAGGCAGTAAGAACTCCTTTTACAGTGGGATCTGAAACAAAATAAGCAAACATAGTTGAAATAGACACATAAATACAGTAAAAAACAAACAAACAAACAAACAAAAAACAAAACTGAGGGTTGCCAGGTCAGAGGGGGCTAGGGAGCTGATTGGAAAAAGTTAAGGGATTTTAGAAGTACAATTTAGCAGTTACAGAATAATCATGGGGATGTAAAGAGCAGCATAGGCAATAGAGTCAATAATATAGTAATAACTATGTATGGAGCAATGAGTACGAGAATTATTGGGGACATTAGTTTGTGAATTATATAATTTTCTAACTAGTATGCTGTATACCGAATACTGCTATAAAATGATACTGAATGTCAATTGATACAGAATTAAACAAAAAGATGAAACCTTAAAAAAAAAGGAATTCCAATTATCTTCAAATAAAGCTTTTCTGGTCTTTTTTCCTTCAAACCTTTTGTTTCCTTGAGGAATGTTATGAGATGAAAGATGTTTTACTGTCTCTTACCATATGCTGCATACATATGGGAACCATGTAATTGCCTTCCAAATAATAGCATTCTTGAGCAAATGAGGTAGCTAAAAGCAGTTATATTATTGCTGAGAGGATGAGACCTTGGTTCTTGTCTCTTTGAAGGAAAGATTTCAGACAAAACAAAACACAGCAAAGCAAGGAATGACTTTTTGGCTGCAGTGGAAGCACTCTCAGGACAGGGAACCAAGGAAGAGCTTAGCATGGAAGAAGCAACAGGAGTGCCTGGGCTTGGCTACTTTAGCTCACAGAGAAGTCAGAGAAAAGGGACCTTGGAGACAAATTCAGGGGTTTGGCGTAGGACACGTTGTCGCTGTCCACCACTCCACTGGATGCAATTCTCATGAGGTTCCTTAGAATAACAGGGAAGGGAAATGGTGTACGTGTGCTCCTGAGAGAGGGCATATCCTGCATCTTTTGTGTTGAGGATATTTATTTCCCTCTTCCAGGCAGGAATCTTAGGGGAGGTCCCCTGGGAAGGTCTCAATAGAATATGCCTACGCTTTGCCGGTGGGTGTGCTTTATTCGGGTCATGGTCTCCCCTGATTGGTGGGTGTGAGGGCAGGTGGTCAGTAGCCAAGACAGCTGGTTCTGAGGACAGCAATGGCACTGCTTATCTGGGACTGGGGCTGAAATACAATTGAGGCCTAGATGCTATCTCTAGGTAAGAAAGGTCGGGTCTAAACCACATATGCGAAGGGTGGGAAGGTCACCCTGGGGGCGAGGACCTTGTTTCCCTCTTTTGCCCCTTGTCAGGCATTCTGTACCTAAAGTAAATTGTTCTTCCAAGCTGGCCAAGCATCTGTCTCACTTTCCCTCTTCCACTTGTTTTGGCGTACTGACCTATCTCGGTTATAATTACATAATATTTGAAACAGTTATTTCTTGATTGGCAATTTCATTTCATTAAACAAACAGGCAAAGAAGACAGCTTATATAAGATTATTTTAAGTAAAATTATTTCCAAAGAAAATGATTGCTATTTGATATCTTTAAATCAAAGGGAAAATTTTGAACATATTTTATATTGGTTATCTGACCATTAAAAAATAATTCAACAGGAACATTGTTTAGTCATAGTTATCTCTAGTACTATTTTTTCCCCCCTGAAGATTGAGTATTTTTTTCATACGGTTTTATCATTTTAATTTTCATAAAATCATCTATACCTTGTTCAAGATTGTATTTATTATTAATAAGTTTAAATTTATTGCTTTTAATTCCTTTCATAATTATGCCATTCTTAATTGAAAAAAAGTCACTGTACACATATTGAGGTTTCTGTTCGTCTCTTGGGAAAATCTGCTAAATGGAAAGTATCCTCAATTTCTAATTTTTGTAAAAGATGCATAGATCATATATTTGTATCAGATCCATATTTTTACTCTATTCAGAATTATTTTGACTCATGTTTTCAAAAATAATCCTCACAAAACAAATGATCTCTAAATATATAATCCCTCTGAGTGTTGAGTGTTGGCCAAACTTAGGTGCTGCAGAGTTACAGACCTTTTCAATTTAATTCCATTTTGTTCTAGTACATCAATCTACCCATGAAATATAGGTGCTCCCTTTAAATAGTGTTTCCCACATATCCAGCTACTCCAAAGCAGTTATATATCTATGTAATAGAGGAATATGTAAATTAGCCATGATGCCATAACATCACAAACAAATAGCAAGGACCTGAGACTGCATGGTGCCTGGCCAGGGCGGGGGAGGTGGTGGTGGAGAACCTCACGCCCGCCCCTGCCCCATGGTGCTGGACAGGGGACCTCAGGCTGCACTCCCTGCCAGGAGGGGCTTCATGGGAAACCTCAGGCCATGCCCCCTGCCTCGGCGTTGAGCTGGGGGAATCTGAGACTGCACCCCCCCACCCAGTGTCAGACAGGAAGACCTGAGACTGTGCCCCTTATGCAGCACCAGGCTGGGGGACCTGAGGGTGCACCCCCTGCTCTTAGGGGCTTGACAGGAGTGGGGCTGGCCGGGTCTGGGGTATCCTGTGTTTTTGAAGCACCTGTGGGTGGTCAGTAGGGACTTAGTCTAAGTCCCATGATGTGCCCCAGACTCTGATAGGAGGGGGATTTTCATATATATTTTACTAATTTTCTTTCATCTCTGACACTTCTATTAAAGAGAAAGGGCAAATAGCAACATTAGAAAATTTCCGCTAATTCATTCCCTTTTAATGTGCACAGATTCTGTGCACCAGGCCAGTAGCAGTGTTTATAAACTTGTATACTTTTGAACTTATTGAATTTGTTAAGTGCCTTAATTGCATTGTGCAGGAATGAACTTGAATGCTTTTTAAAAGTAACTATAACTCATACTTCTAAAAACTGATTTTTTTATGTTTAATGATATTTTTTAAGTAAATGCTCATAACCAATTTTAAACAAGATGTAACCAACTTGGAAGGATTCTTCCACTAATATATCAAAACATTCCTAAAATACTTCGGTTTATTTTCAGTCATTCCTCAGAAGTTTAAACATCACTAAAATCTAAGTGTGGACAATAGTAAGATATGTAACTTCCCCCCCCCCCCCCCAATATCAGTTTGTCACACACACACACAAAAATGGTGTGCTGACTTGTAAATATTTAAAGTTATTTGTGAATTTTTCAGCTAGAGATTCTAATCCAATTATCTGAATATCACAACTATTTTGGATTTACAATATAAATTATGTGTGTATGACACAATTTATAATCTTCAGAGCTGCTGCTTTTTAAGTTTCACTAACTCCTCCAGGAGAGTTGGTAGCACCATTACGGGGGATGGGTCAGGTATGCCTGCCAAGGAGTGGGCCCAGGCTCCCAAGGACACACTGATCTCTCTCTCACTCTCAGGGCCTCCGAGTAGCTGTTGTAGCTGCTTATCAGCCCCGCCTCTCTCTCCCAAGAGAGTTCAGCCTGCTCGCCAGCCCCACTCACTGGAGCCTGCTGCTCCTGCAGCCTGGCATGCAGTGCAGCCTTCCATCAATAAGGGTTTTCATATAGGATGATGATATATGAAACATGATTCATAAATAAGTTGAGATTATATTTTAAAAAGTCATTAAAAATCTGAACGCATTATATTTCTAGTGCTTTGTCAAACAGTGACTACATAAATTAGCCTCTATTCAAATTTACTTTGCTGTTGAGTTTCACTTAAAACCGAGAAACTTGGAACTCATTGTCTTTGGGAAGTTACAGTTATTATGCTAGAAACACTTTCATGATATATTGCAAATTTATATCAAGACTACAAAGAATTAAGGTGTAGATATACCAATCCAATTTACAAACTATTGGGCCTTTAGAAAAAAACCTATTCAAGATTTTTTTTAAGACATCTCAATATTAAGGAGTATAAATAAGAACAATTAACCATGAGATCAATTTCAGTCATGATAAAAGTAAAATTAAGAATTAAAATTTAATATAACACTGTAATTCCAAATTCGAAAACATTATGTAAATTTTATATACCCATTATAAAGTGATTTATGCTAAATCTATAATTTCTTAAGGTTTATTGCAAAAAAATAATGTATTTTTAGTAATTCATTGAATCATTAACATTCTCATTCTATATATGATCCGTTTCTGACTCCTTATCAAACTTTTTAAAATATGAGTTTATTATAGGAAAAGTGGTTGTCAAAAAATAAACTCCTCAGTTTTAGTTTAGGACTGTCAGCAATTTTTAGTTTTAAGATTCAAGAAGGTTCATTTGCAAGACATGGTGCGATCTCTGTACCCAAGGTGATTTATAGATCACAGCATGGCATTGGAGGAATAATTATATTTCAGGATGTGATAACTTCAGGTATTACTGGACAGGTAACAAGTAGTCCAATCTGACTAGTGAAGAATATTGTAAGGCATTTCATTAGCAGTTTAAATCAGAGGCTAGGAAGAATATTTTTTAATTTAAAGTTGATTTCTCCAATTTGTAACCTCTAGCAGTGGGTAGAATTTAAGGAGAATAGTATTTTGTCCATGGAAAAAAATGTTAGCAGGAGCTAAATCAGATATAACTTTTTTCATTTTTAATAATTGAACTTTAATCCTATTTTGAAATTCAATCCTGATCGAGGCTGGAAAATTAATCTCAGTCAATTCAACTCTAGCTCTAACCCCCTGCCATTTAGAAAATTGAACTATTCCTTGTTCTCATAAGTGTAATTTGTTAAGTAGTGTAGATAGTTAATCGCATTACATGAGCCAATAGGCACACTACACGTAATATCAACTTTAAGGCTTAGCATTTATAAAATTTGTACTTAAAATTATGATGGTCCTAGATCATTTTGCTCAGTGGTTAGAGTGGCAGCCTATGAACTAAAAAGGGACATGTGTTCAATTTCAATCAAGGCTACTATTTTGGTTGCAGGCTTGGTCCTACCCTCAAGGCATATGGGAGGCAACCAATTGATGTGTCTCTTTCATATAAGTGTTTCTGTGTGTCTCTCTCCCTCCCTTCCATTTTCTCTAAAAAAAAAAAAAAAATCAATGGAAAAAATATCCTTAGGTGATGATTAAAAATATATTTGTCAAATAGTAAAACAAGTTAATCTAATACATTTAGCGATGTATATTGGCTAGGAAGGAATTTATGTATTTGACTCTGGATTGTTACTATTTTTACATTGTCAAACCTCATTTAGTCACTATGATCATTATCAACATTGGTGGGATCTATAGTTCTATGCTCAGAACGATCTATAGTAATATAACACTAAGATGCAACCTAAACAGGGACTTGCAGGTGGATACATGTAATATAAAGCATCAAATATGCAGAATTAGGTATAGATATTAATTCATTCACTTTATATATTATAGTGATTATTTTAATATGAAACAACTATAAATGAGGCAGCTTCAGTAAATAAAGCACTGGAAAATGTTGAACATTTGAGGAGAGACAATTGAGTAGCTATAACAAATAATATAATGTCTTTCCCAAATAATTTTGCCTAGTATGACCAACTTAATTTTCTAAATATGCCTTTGTAAATATTATTTTCTCAAATACTTTCCCTTCTCTAATGTTACGTAGTAGAAGGATGAACATGAGAGTCATGTGAGTTTGGTTAATAGATTTCTGCAGTAGTCATAGACAAGTTTTAGACAATAATCTTCAGTTACATCACCTATATGATGAAGGAAATATGGCACAACTTCCCCCTTGCTCTGCAGAACGAATAAGATAATAAATACAGAAGGGTGTGGTTAATATAGCGTTGCAATAAAGTTAAGCAGACTTGTGTTCTCAGACCATCTCTACATCTCCCTGTCTCTGTGGCCTTTAGAATATTATTTAAGCTCTCTAAATTTTAATTTCCTGATTTGTAAAATTTTGAGAATTATCAATACTCATCTCATGGAATTTTATGAGGGTTAAATGAAACAATCCATGGCAAGTATTAGTAAAAATGGCAATATATAGTCAGCATTCAATTATTTTAGCTGTTGTTACTTTTGCTTGCCTGACATAAGGACTCTTCATCTAATGTGTATTTATTCTGTTTAAGACATAGTCAAGTTCAGTCTCCTTATTTTCTAGCATTCACGTATTTATACAATTGTCTTCTACCTACTTTTATGAACTTATTTTTTTAAATATTTCTTTAAACTATTCTAGTGATTTTGTTATGAACACATTTACATTTTTTGTTGCTTCTCATCATTTTTTCATTTCTAGAATGAAGTTTTCCTATCCTTCCTTCTCCAAAATTCACTTCCTTCACTCTGCCTGCTAATACAATGTCCTTGACAGCAAAGCCTATTATCTAGTCAAACTTATAGCTCCATTCTGTAGCAAATATAAGATAATGAATCAATATTTTATAATCAAGAAAATCAGAGATAGGGTTTGTTCTTAATATTAAAGGAATTTCAAATTATTGTGATTCTCTTCTGACAGACATACTCTCGAATAGGTATGAAGGTGATGATTAAAAATATATTTGTCAAATAGTAAAACAAGTTAATCTAATACATTTAGCGATGTATATTGGCTAGGAAGGAATTTATGTATTTGACTCTGGATTGTTATGTATTTGACTCTGAATTTATGTATTTGACTCTGGAATTTATGTATTTGACTCTGATTTCCGATCAGGGCATATATCCTGGTTGCAGGCTTGATCTCCAGTAGGGGCTTTGCAGGAGGCAGCAGATCAATGTTTCTCTCTCTCTCCCTCTCTCTTTCTATCTAAAATCAATAAATTTTTTCAATTTAGGAGTCACAGGTTTGTGTTTGAATTTTGTATACTCTTTATGCCATATGTAGAAAGAAAAGAATCATAGTTTCAGTTATGTGATTTATTGGGACATTGGATGTAATATTGAAAGAAACACACCACTTCTTAAAAATGAAAAATAGCATCTTGGAACAAATGGTCATGTGAATAATATCATATCCACTTAACTTTGGCTCAGAATGTGTGAAATTTTTTGTAACAGTTATGAAAATTGCATGATTGCTTTGCTTTTAAAGTGAAAAACATGTAATAGCTACTTTTAGTCCTGTGATATTGAATGCAGTATTCTTTGCAGAATTCTGAATTGGCTATCATTTGCCACAAATATTCTATACATTCCAGTGATACTGTTTATGCAATTGTAATAATTTTCCACTTCTGCCTCAGCAGTTTCAGTGACTTAAAAATCACTTGATGTCTGCCTGAAAATGACTGATGTGTTGTTTTCTATATTAAGTAATCTCTGCTGGTGCAGTGTAAGTCTTTTAATGAATCCTAGAAATCTGTTAAAGTCTGCAGTTTTCATGCTTTGTTCAAGTGAACAGGTGTGACAATTTATAGAATCCAAGGCAGACACTCTAATTACTTCATCTTGGGACTTTGAAATATGTTTTATGGGGAAACATCATGAACATATTTTTTTAAGATCAGGAACATTTTGGAACATATAGTTTTAAATTTTACTTAGAGGGAAAAAAATTGAAAGTGAAAATTCAGGAAGTTGAAATTACCAAATGTTGTACCTTTATCCTATAGGTAATTTTTAAAATTCTATTTTGTCTTTGATAGTTAACAACTTGATAGTTTCACGTGTTGGCTATCAACTCCCAATGCAAGAATTATTCAAGTATCATTATAGACATCCCTTTAAGTAGATATGATCACACTTGACTTCTTTAATATGCTAATTTGAATATAGTGATAAAAACAATTCAGGTTTATAAAACCTACTTAACTATGGACAGGCTTACATTAACCCATCTATCAACTTCATGTTGTATAGTTTCAAATACTAGGTTTTAGAAAAGGCCTAAGGTAGATGAACATTTCTTTATTCAAGACAAATATTTGCAAATACATTTTGATACAAAATTGTGTTGCAATTCAATTGAATTCTTCATTAATTTAAAGAATACCTTTACCAGTAATGAGATAATAATTATATTATTTCCATTATAATAAAATAATAATTATTATTTACATTATAATAAAATTTAATGTAAATTTTAATGATATATATTAAGTAAATTTTAAAAGAAAGCCTAGCCAAAACTGCATATGACTTTTGACCACTCCCTCCAAAACTGCAGTAATAATAGCCTCCTGTTGACTGGCAGCCCTACCAATAACAAACAGTCAACACATATTGTGTATGTTATATTTATTGCATACTATAGTCTTATAATGAAGTTGGAAAACAGAAATATTAAGACAATCATAAAGAAGATAAAATACATTTAAAATAGTACATATTAGTTTTAAAAAATTGTGTGTAAGAGCAAGCACTGAGTTCAAATCCATGTTGTTCAAGGGTAAACTGAAATTTGTTTTTCTGTCATTTATGCATTAGGTTTTATTCTAGTGGCATAATAGAACTACCTAACTATGAAAGATCAACATTGATGACCATCTTTGATATACTAGATATACTTGAACTGAGACCTTTTAAAGAGCATTATCCTGGAGTTAATTCTGTTTCAAAAGAATGAAAACAGCCCTGGCCCATGCAGCTCAGTTGGTTGGAGTATCATCCTGTGCACCGAGAGGTCACCATTTTGATTTCCGGTCAAGGCATCTACCCTAGTTGCAGGCTTGATCTCCAGTAGGGGCTGTGCAGGAGGCAGCAGATCAATGTTTCTCTCTCTCTCCCTCTCTCTTTCTCTCTATCTAAAATCAATAAAAACATTTATTATTTTTTTTAAAAGGAATGAAAACAGCATGATCATGGCAGATGAGACTACCATTTTGAGTTTAAGGACGGAGATTTTACTTCAGGTACAGGGTTGCAAATAACTGAAGTTTTTCTAATCCCATCATGGCTGCTTCTTGGGAATCAACCACTGCTACAAAATAACAATTCTAATATTTTCCCTGGAAAAAAAAATTGTTCCTTAGGTCATTACTTTAATAGGCAGTATATTTGTATAATGAAGAATTTCATTTACTATGCTGAGAACTGCAGAACAAACATTACCTTTAGTTTACAGAATCCAGGTAATCTATTCTATGATATTCCATAGTTACTTATTATTATGAGTCTAGGACACAATACTTTAATACATTAAATTACTTAATGAAGAGATAATATTTGGTAGTTCTGGGACTACTCAAATTTAGAAAACAAGTCTAAACTTTTAGTGCAATACAACAATGTATGTTGTTTAATTATTTATTTGCACACTAATAAAATTTGAATCAAATATGATATATTAAATTTTTTAAAAAATTGCCTTACTGTTTTCCACATTTGCTCATACAAAATTCACTATCTGGCTACATATTATCAATGAAATGTTGACTTATTTTTAAATGAATACATTTATCCCTTATATAATTTTGATAGTATAGCATTACATATAAATTTCACCATATAGTCTTAAGTTTTGTAGAGTATATTTTAGAACTTTGAAACATTTTCAATAAGTATACTGGTTATTCCATGGGGTATATATACAGAAGACCAATGGCAGAAAGATTGAATGAGTCTAGAATTGGCTAAATGAAAGGAAGTAGCATTTTAAAATAGCCTGGAATAGTTTGTTTGTTGAGACCAAAATTTAATAAGTTCTAATTATAATTGTGGAATGTTTTGAAGTTTGTACTGTGTTTCCCTATGCAGATGGCATCCAATATTTACAACTACCTTATTAGAAAATATAGTAATCATTAAGTAAGATAGATCAGATAGGTAGATATATATACATGATAAATAGATAAACAGGGTGAAACAACAGTAGGTTTACAGTTGTTCGTCTGGAAAATAATATAAATTAATAAATAATTATACAAGAATAAACTCTGTGCTTAGTGTATTCACAATTGTAAGATATACATTTCCTGACTGGGAGGTCCTTACTTCTTCCAAGATAAGATATTGTTCCTTCTTCGCAATATTTCCTTTTAATGTTGAAAAACACTTCAGTCTGATAAAAAAAAAAAAAATCTTACTTTTATCAACAGCTTGAACTTTTTTCTTTCTGGTCCATAATTACAAGCATATTTCCTACACTGTGCCTTTTATCTATATTTTTCCCATCCTTAGAAAAATCAAAAGGTTTTTAGTTGAGATGTTAGTGGATGTTATTAGCTATAACACATAGATGTACCCTCTTTTGAATGACATTGGCTGCCACAAAATAGTATCAGATTCCACATCAAGCCTCTAGAGAGAAGAGTAAGCTGTTCTTATTTTTTATGACCTAGCCTCAGAAGTGACACCAAGTAAGTCTTTCTATATTCTATTTGTTGATATTGTTATAAAATGTCATTCAGATTGAAGGGGAGTGTTCTAGAAGACTCTGTTCAGTAAGAAATATTGCTGAAAACCACTTTTAATACTTTACCAAAAAACACTTTAAAAATATTTCATATTTTGAACCCTAATAGATTCTCAGGCTTTTTCTTCTGCAGCATGCTTTGCAAAAGCTACTCATCCTATGATGTGACATGCACCACAAGGCCATTCTTGCTTCCTGTTAGCCAACAATAGCATTTATCAAACTATTACTTTAGCCATATGTCTCAAATTGTCCTCCTTTTTTGAGTTTCATGATATCTTGTATCAGATTTGTAAGTACTTTTAGTTTTCTTGGTTCCTCATAATTAATTGATATGACTGGCACATATGTAATATTTCTTCCTTGTCACCACCATTTTGTAATCTTACTTCAAATTCTTTGACTTCCTTAATTCCAAGGAATAGTGCTATCATTTCATTGTAACAACTCACACCCACAAAGATGCCAAGAATCTTGTCATTATCCTGAAATACTGTTATCCCTTTAACTTCTCACTTTTTGAATAATTCTTCATTGCAATTTTTGAGCCAAGTTTGAAAAGAGAAACATTCTCCTGAAGAGACTATTTTCATAGAAAAAAAATAGTTTAAGGACTTAGATATGATATTATTTCTGCTGTTTATTACTCTTGACCAAGACTCTTTATTAACTTTTCTGAAGCTAAGATTTTTCATATGCAGTAGTTGAGAAAAAATGAAAGCAAGGTTATATTGAAGTGTAAGTTAGAATCTTGTATGTAAAATACAAATACTGTTCCTAGCATTTAGAAGGCACTATTTTATTGTCAGTTTCCTCTTACAAAATGTTTCTGTTCTTCCATAACTAATTAAAAAACAGGTGTCACACTTCCATTACGTGCTATGAAGCATATAGTTATGCTTGCATTATGCAAAACATGTGTTTTCTCTGCCTCCTTTCAAGGTTACTGAGCACTATTGGAGGAAATCCCAACATTTTGTATGGTCTTCAGATTCAACAGTACTCTCAATACTAATCTGCCTTCTCTTTAGGTGCTTAAACAGGAAACTCTCTGATTGCTGCTGCTTTTCTAAAACCTCATTTTTTTGTTTGTTTGTTTAACCTGTTTTTCCTAAAGCATTACTCACCCCATATCCATGCAGCAGACAATTTTTATCTTCTGCACAGAAAGTATACATCCAGCATGATATTAATCAACTTTTATTATTTATTTTAACTACATAATTCCTCACCTCTTTTACTTTAGATTTATTTACCTTTATATGTTTATTTTGGAAATGACATTCTGCTCTGAGTTCTTCTCACCTATAGTCTAATATAATATTTGCATTTAACCAAGTTTTATTTATTATTTGATATATATTTTAATTTCTAAGAGAATTGTATTTCAATTATCTTATTGTAGGTAAAATATTGATGAGAAGAAATTGTTTTGTTTAATAAGGCCTTGCCACTAGTTATCCAAAAATAGCCTAGGGCCCATAGGAGTTTGGGCCCAAGGACATTTATTTTGATTGTTAGACACACAAAAAAAGAAATACCGATAAAAACAGAATACTAGGAGAGAGATACTGTTATAAAGGACAGCATATGTAAGAATCAATCTTGGAGTCATCTAGAAATAAATAATAAATTTTAAAATGAAAAAAATGAATAAATCAGTTAATGAAATAAAATGATTTTTCTGTAGGTCAGTAAAATGAATTCTGTAGCATTTGACCTTCTTTCTTCTAGACTGTCTCCCTTCTGTAGTTCTTACCTATAACTGAAATCACATGTTTATATAAATAAGATAATTTATATTTCATTTATGTACTATATAATGAGTGTTACAGTCTAGTGAATTTAAAATAATTTGTGAGACTTATCAATGAAGTGTTCTTCAAAATATTCAAGGTATATTATTCAAACCTTATTAAAATTTATAAGCATTTGTACTAATTTTTTTAAAATTCAAAATAAGTTTCACAAACTTTCTTATCAAAATACATCTTTCTGAAATGTTAATGATAGAACTTGTTCATATTAGGTCTAGAAAATAGAATTTATAAAACATTTTTTAAATATCTCATTTTTTACTATCACTGTTATACAATATCTTTCAAAAATAAATGTGGATCTCCTAAACATATCTATATTTTCCAGGTTGGTTATTATGTTTATTAGATCTAGATTACATTTAGATTTCAGAAAACAATAAAATTGTATTGCATCTTCATACTAATGTACTACTTATTTCTAAAGATTGTCCAACTCTGGGATTTTGTTTTTAAGAAATAATTAAAGACATATTCCACTATGTCTCTGGTTACCTTAAATTGTGAAAATTGTCAATATAATATTAGGTTTTGTTCAATAATGTACTACTTATTTAGTAATTGAATAATGAGGAGATAAGATATATGGTGAATAAATGCACTCAGCAACATTTAAAGCATCTATAGCTAGATTAACAGTATAAAATAGCATAATCTGACCAAATCTCTGCTATCACTTAGGTCATAGCTTTATTTTCTGATTGCATTTAATTTAGCGGTAAAATTATAGGAAATTTAGATATTCTAAGTTCCTTAAGTGACATGACACTAACTAGTTTAAGGTTAAAATATCATAAATATCTTATTAAAATGTAATATTAATGTGTATAATTGCATGATTTCCATTAAGAACAAATTGCCAAACAACAACAACTGATTTAAAGTAGAAGAATAAAATTCAGTCAACTTCTATTTTCCGTAACATTTTGGTTTTAGTCAGGAATGTATTTCTTCCTAATTGTCCAGGTTTTAATGGTAAGGGGATAGATATCCTCTATTGAATTTTTCCATTTTGAAGTTAATGATTTTTCCAAATCATAGTAGACTTCAACATAAGTACAATTGTATCAAAGCAGGAGTTAGTGAAAAGTGGTTTGTGATATGCTAAACAAGTTGTCTAAGATCTAAAAACCAGGCATTTTCTTCTTCTCCTAACTATATTATAAAAGGCCTGTGGACCAAATGCTATAATGACCAAAGATCAGCATGG